GACTACTTTGTTTACATCCCCATCAGGTCAGTTCATTTAAATATAGTTTCTGTTCCCAGGGATTTGAGTATTTCATTGCCTGTTTTGGGTTAAGATCATTAAATGTTTTGAAAAGTAGTATCTTGAAGGAGTATCTTGCTAACATTTTAAACACCAAAAGTCTTGGCTTCTCAGCAAAACTCATCTCAGATTAGTATTATCTTTGTAGTATCAAGTCCAGATAAAGTAAAATTGTTCTTTTTTCTTTAAATGTTAGTTTTTTAAATTAAAATTTATTGGGGTGACAATGGTCAACAAAGCTACATATGTTTCAAGTGTACAATCTATAATACACCATCTATGTATTGCATTATGTGTTCACCGCCCGTATATTTGACTCCCTTTTATCCTCTTCTACCATCCTCCCTTCCCCCTTACCCTCTGGTAACCATTAAACTGTTGTCTGTGTCTAAGAGTTTTTGCTTCTTTATTTGTTTGTCTTGTTTCTTTATTGCCTTCAGGTTTATATTCCACATATGAGTGAAGTCACATGGTTCTTGACTTTTTCTATTCGACTTATTTGTAAATTGTTCTTAAACAGCGAGTAGCATATATCCATAGTTCTGTACTTCCCAGAAGGTTAAGGGGTAATGATTTTTTTTTTAGCACTGAGTTATTTACATTTTCTCCCATAAATAAAAACAAGGTACACAGGAATGAGCTAAGCATTTCAGAGTTTTTATAGCCCATGTTAAAAAGTTATTACTAATATCTGAAAAAAATTATGAAGATGCTGGTATTGTTTCAATAACTTAAGGATAACCTGATGTTTAATAGACTGTACCACACTGCTCAGCAATATCATCAGGAGTGAGGGTGAATGTGGGGTGTGTAACTGGGATGGGCCTCCACAGGTAAAAAAGGGGCTAACCTGGGCCGATCGAATGGCGTTTGGGATGCCAGAGGGCCCCGGTTCGGATCCCACATATGAGGGCCAGTGACACTGCCCTCTACAGCTAAGATGCTGAACAACAGCTCAACCTGGAGC